TATGGTAGGTAGGCACTAGCAAAAGTTGTTGAATAAATAATAATTTCTTGAGCTCTGAAATGCTATTCTAACACTCATACATATTTTACAGTTTAATTTAAAATGTACTGTCTGTTAGATAATGCAAAAACATTAAATTGTTTAATCTTTAGGAAACCCTATAGATACGGATGTTTACGCATTTTACAGATGAAGAAACTGAGGCATAGGGAGGTTAAAGGCCTGCTCAAGGCTTCCAAAATCCCCGAGTCTGTGTCTAAACCACCACACTGCACTGTGTCTAACACACACAGCACCCCTTCCACTAATGCTCTTTCTACAATCCAGACTCTTAATTTCACTATTCTTTGACACAGTGAGTTATACACCAGAAAATAAAGTGAGGCAATTGTGATACTCTCAAGTAAGAATAACTTTTATCACCCCAATAAAATGGTTTATCTTATTATATATCTGTTGGCAGTAGGTCTTTGTCTTCTAAAACGACATTTTCAAACTGGCTTTAATGCTTCCAAATGGTACTGGCTCCTAAGCTTGGGAGACAAATTCTCACAGGTCCTTCAGCATAGGTGCAGCCTGAGACAGTGGAAATTCCTCACCCCTCCCACCGCCCTCTGACCCCAGCCAGAATCACAGCTTAATTTTCTCGCAGAGGGTCTGGCTCCAGATATTCAAGGAAAATTCATTGTCTGTCCATAATCAGTGCTGTCCTACAGAAAAGGCTGCAGCACAAGGGTGTAATCATGTGGACTATGTAACATCAGGACTTAACCGCCAGACAGCAGCCAGGGAAAGCTGATCCACATATAATCTCCCCCAAGGAACACAATGGAAATAGCCAAATCTGGACCACTCTAAAACTCCTGTCCCAATTGCTTCTGGTTTGTAAGATAAAATAAACATTAATATACCCACAACTTGATATAAAGAAATATTTTACATATTTAGAGTTATCAGGATTTCAGAACCAGGACAGAAGAGATAATGGAAGTCACTTGGATTCTCATTATGAATGAAGAATCCACATCTGTGGCAATCAAGTCTCTTCTGAAAGTCACAGGCCTACCTAGTGCATCTGGGACCCAGGGCCTTTATATCACAACCTGTTGCCAAGATAGTCAAAAGAAATCCCTGAGTAATTACCTCTTTGAAAAGTTACAGGTATCTCTGCAAATAAACCACCATTGAATCTGGCCATTTTTGAATTTCAGGTTCTGGTGAACTGGTGCTTCTTATGTCATTTGTATTTGGAATGTTTATCAATAAGCTCACAGAATGGCATAAACACTTGAAATCTTTCTTAAGAGTTAGGAATCTCAGTAGAACACCAATTCAGAAGGAAACTTGGAGGGCTGGAATATTATTTCTCCAAGTACTAACCAGGCCCAACTCTGCTTAGCTTCTGAGACCAGAGGAGACAGGGCGCATTCAGGGTGGTATGGACATAGACCAGAATATTATTTCTAAAGCAGAAAATATGTGCTTTATACTGGAACTTTTTCAGATGTCGGAAAAAATGACAAAGCTGATTACATGTGTGAAAAATGCCTCGAGTTCTTCACTTGAAGGAGCCTAAAATGTGTTCTTTGGAAAATGAAATAAACATCCTTTGTTGCTTTCATCATATAACCTAGAATCAGGTAGAGCTTGCCCCTAGCCTCCCGGGGTAAGGATAGAAGTAAACTAGATGATATTTCTTCTTATGTAATTTGGGTTCTGACTCAGAATTAGCTCCTACCACTCCCTTTCACAGTACGTCTGTCCCCATGTCCTCTCTGGGACACTCCAGATGGTATCATACCACACCTCTTTGTGGTAAGATCTGTCCTAAAATCACTTGTAAACTCAAATGGATTCAACAGTTCCAGCAATGCAAATATTTATGGAAGCTCCCAACTTTTGGTTGTGTCAGACTAGAATATAGGAAGCCCCTCTGCCTGACCTTCGCCTGATGGTAATACTCACTATTCAGCTATGTAAAACGTGTGGTGACTTGTCTAGGAGCTGCCTTCAGCTCTAAACAGATAACTGTGCAACAGGCCATAACCGTCTTTATCTCCTCTGTGTCCCTTTCCAGGTGTGGGCGCAGTGTCTGGGACATTATAGGTGCCATGTATTTATTGAACAAATGAAAGTTGACCTTTGCCTAACCTATAAAAGAAACGCTATGTAGAATCAGTGAAGAGTTTGAACACTGAATGGTTTAAGAATGTTTTGAATCCACAAAATAGTATTTAAAGTTAGCCTTATTATTTATTTAGCCAAATATTTTAAGTAGACGTAGGAGATCAAACGTTTGTTGAACAGTAACTGTGAGCCAGACACCATGTTAGGTGCTAGGATAGATGTGATTGTGTTTAATCCACACAGGAATCCTAGTAAAGGGGAGTATTATCCCCATTTACAGAGGAGGAAACAGACTCAGAGGGCTGCGGTAACTTACCTCAGATGCTATTATTTCCAAAACATCTTGATCTCTAAATCCCATGAAAGTAGCAGACTCCACTAACCTGATATTAAATGACTAATCTCTGAAATCCAAGCGCTGAATCACTTTTGTAAAATTCAGCAATTATTTTTCAGAAATTCCCTTAGATAAAATTAGTCCAAAAGCCTATGGACATGCGGTTGCCTGATAACCGTATCTAACCCAAGAGTAGTATTTCAGCTTAATTGCCATCTTAACTAATTACTTACGATATGACACGGGCTATGCTAGCCTATTAAAAACCATTACACAGAAGTCATGTGGCTTTACAGTATATAGTTCTCATTCCCACAACTTACATTTTGATGGCATCTGTTACTCCCTGGAAGAAAGCCAGAGTTTCTGAGTAAAATGTATCAGTCCTAACAATGTGGACATTATTATTCCAGAAAGCCAACTGAGAATTGAACAAGATCTTACCGTAATGACTAGAACTGGGAAACAAGAATTTTCTTCAGCACAGCAGGAGGAAATCTTTTTATTAAGGTTATGAGAATCAGAGAAGTGAACATCCCTTCATAAGTCTAAAATAAATGACTTAGGATGGGTTACCATTTCAAAAAAGCTTCTATATACTGAACATGTCCAAGTTGTTTTGCTCTAAACATTTGGGTTTGCAGCATAATCTCATACTAAAATGTAATCAATGTCAGATCACATGATATCCACAAACTGACCACACCGCCTCTAGGTTCACTGGCTAATGAAAAGTTAACATCCTCTTTCAGAGCCCCACTATGAAAATTGTTTTTCTCCTGGTTCTACTTTTTGCTGAGTAAAATCTGAGTAGTAGACTTTTGACATTATTATCATCATTATTACTAAATAATAGGAAAAGGTCTGTGCTATTTCAAGTCTGAGGGCATGCTTTTTCTGAATTTCTCAGTCTATATAGTTTCCTTTGCATAGCCTTATCCAGATCTGTGATTTCAGCTATCAAGTATACTCCAGCAACTTACAAATCTTTGTGATCATTTAAGAAATCTTTATTGAGTATCTAATATATACCAGGCACTTTTCTATTCTCCTGGGATGTCCTAGTGCATAAAATAAAATCTGGCAGCACTTTAGGAGGCCAAGGTCGGCAGATCACTTGAGCTCAGGAGCTCGAGACCAGCCTGGGCAACATGGCAAAACCCCGCCTCGACTAAAAATAGAAAAATTAGCCAGGCATGGTGGCGTGTGCCTGTAGTCCCAGCTACTTGGGGGCACCAAGGCAGGAGGATCACCTAGCCTTGGGAGGTCGAGGCTGCAGTGAGCCAGGATCATACCTGAGCAACAGGGCGAGACTCTGTCTCAAAAAAGACACTAAAATCTTATCCTTGTGGTAGTTAACCTTTTCTTAGTGGACTGTCCATTTTAGATTTCTCATCTGAATTACAGACCCACATACTCAGCTTCTTATTAGAATTCTTAATTTCTAACTTACAGTTGTAGAGGTATCACCTAAAACATCTCGAACATGAAAATGCCTTGAAAATGTCCAAGTCCACATATGCACTTAGGCCCTATAACCCAAACTGAGATGATCACATCTCCTCAACTTATTTCTGTGGAACCCTTTCCCTTTCCCCAGTGCTCAGCTCTCCCTCCCCTGACTCTCTGAGGCCAGGGACCTAAACAGCCTTCCCCTTACCTTCATTAAAACTTCTATCTTAATTTTTTCATGGCCATCATTTCTTTTCAATTTCCAGTGGCATTTCCTTAGCACCAGCTCGCATTATTGTTGCTGGGTAATAAAATCTTTCTACCTGTTTCATTTTTGTTTTTTTCTTCCAGGATGGCCCCCTTGAATCCATTTCTTATGCTGCTATAGAACATGTCTTCTAAAACGTAAATCTGCTCCTGTCTCTTTGGTTTAATATCTCTGTAGCACTTCCCTTAACTTGGAGGATAAAGTAAACATTTCTTTCTTGCTTTTTGTTTTGTTTTGTTTTTGTTGTTGTTTTTGTTTTTGTTTTTTTTTTTTTTGAGACTGAGTCTCACTTGGTCACCCAGGCATAAGTACAGTGGCTCACCGCAACCTCCACCTCCTGGTCTCAGGCGATTCTCCTGCCTCAGCCTCCTTAGTAGCTGGGAATACAGGTGTGTGTCTCCATGTCCGGCTAATTTTTGTATTTTTAATAGAGACAGGGTTTCACCATGTTGGCCAGATTGGTCTCCAACTCCTGACCTCAGGTGATCCACCTGTCCCGGCCTCCCAAAGTGCTGGGATTACAGGTGTGAGCCACCACGCCCAGCCCAGGATAAAGTAAAAATTTCTAAGCACACAAGGCCCTTTGCAACCTGGCTCCTGGTTACTACTCCTGGTTACTGCCCTCCCAAATGTCCTCACTGTTTTTCCAGACATACCTATCTGCTCTCTCTACGTGTTCCATCCTCATTTACCTGATCAGCCTCAAGCATCCAGGCATGACCTCCATGAAGCCTCCCTTCCCAGGCCCTAGGCTCTGGCAGACTCCACTGCTGCCGTGTGTTATCATCACCCTTTATCTATTTCCTTTATTTTACCAAAGCTTCCCAAGGGAAGTTAGAGAATCTGCCTCGACTCTGTGTCTCTAAACGAAGCCTAGCACCTCGAACACAATGACACTCAATCTGCATTTGTTGAATAAACACATCATTAAAAAATAAAAAATGATTCATTGTCCTGCGTTTTCAAGGCATTTTAGATCACACCTCCACGAATGCAGCTTAGAGATTAAAAATTCTAACTCCTAAAAATACTGGAGAAACAGAAACAGCTTTCTTCCTTCTAAAGGATGTCATTTGGCTTTTGGTTTTGAGGTTTTTCCTACCTGTTCTTCAATACTTGATTTACATTTATTTAGTCTTTGTCAAATTTTACCTGATTATTTACTAGAAGAAGGCATAGCTAAAGGTAAAATCATAGACACTGGTCCCAGGAAAATCTGGATTTGCATCCTGGTTCAAGTACTCATTTACAGGGCACCTGGGATGACTCACATTTTTCTGAGCCTCAATTCACATAAAACGGGTATAAATAAGATAGCATGCTAAGCTGCTAACACATATCATATACTTAATCAGTTTCCTTTCTTGTTCTCACACTTTTCTTTTAAGCTACACGCTTTGCCTGGAACATATTCCCCTCCATCCTTCTATCAAAATCCTCCTCATTTTTAGCTCGACTCTCCTCAAAATCTTCTTGGTGAAACTGTCCTTAGTGACTTTGGCCAGAAAGAACCTGTCCTCTGTGCTCCAGTGGCTCTATATCTTATTTATTTTGTTCAGCAATTTATGCTGAGTGCCTACTATGTGCCAGGCATTAATTTAGGTGCTGGGAATACAGAAGAGAACAAAGCAGACGTGTAAATGTCTTCCTGGGGTATATATGGTAATGATAAACAATAAACACACCAATAAATATAAAAACAATTTAAGGTCAGATCAATATAAATGCTAAAAGAAATAAAGGGTGGTGGGCTAGGAAGTAACGGGAATGGGGATGTCAGGGAAGGCACAGACATGCAAAGAGCCAGAGGGCCATGACCGCAAGCAGAAGGCACACGTGGGCCAAGGCTCCTACTAGAGAAAAGCATGGCATGTTTGAGAAAAGAAGAAGCGCCAGTGTGGTTGGACTGTAGTCGGCTAAGGGAAGTGGGATGAAATGAGACTGGTAAGGTGGAATGGGGCCAGACTATATAAGCAGTCTATGAAGGATTCTGGATTTCAATCTAAGTGTCGTGGACAGGTTTTAAGCAGGGGTGCAGTGATGTGATCTGTCTTAAGGTTTCTCTGGCTGCTGGATGTCTGTACCAGAGTTCAATCTGATTTGCACAATCGTTTCTGGTGAATAAAGCTGTCCTTCTAGTTACAGTGTGGTCCTCAGAGGGCAGGGATATTTTATTCTTATTCTTATCAGTGCCTCATGCATAGTTCTCCGCAGTAAATACTCGTCAAATTAAATTGAAACATCCTGCAGCCTCTTTTTCTTTCTTGCCTGCAATTGTAATAATTGTAATTGTAACACTTCTAATCTTCGTAGGAAGTATGCAGTTGCCAACCAGCTCTGAACGAGTTCTTTTTTTTTCTTATTTGAATTCCTCTCAGGCCTTCCTGCCATTGTAGGATTGTCATCTGACTTCCTGTCTCCTAGCCAGGTCTACTCCCTGCCCTGTGGACTGAATTTTTATAGTCCTTCTGTAAAGTGCCATGCGCGCTGCTGAGAAGGCTGGGTACAGCTGGCCTTGCTTGTTCCCAAAGGAATCACAGCTTCTAGCTTTACATACTGTATGGGATCGGATACTAACAGACATTTATCGATTACTTGCATGCACCTGGCACATTATGGGCATGGCATCCCTTTGTGCAAGCTGTGCCACTCTGGGCAAGCTACCACTCCTCTCGGAGCCTCAGTTTCCTCATGTGTACAATGGGGATAATAAGAACAATAGGATTTGCCTCCTAGAATTGTCATGAGGCTTTAAAGGAGATCATGCATATAAAGCACTTAGCACAGCACAGGCACTTATCTAATGTCAGCTGGATAACTAGTCAACACTCACCCATGTCAGTTATATTAGCAGTAGTGTTGTTAGTGGCATGATTAGTGGCTATTATCCATAGGCAATACTTATCCATGTCAGTTATATTCGTTGTAGTGTTGTTAGTGGCATGATTAGTGGCTATTATCCATAGGCAATACTTATCCATGTCAGTTATATTAGTTGTAGTGTTGTTAGTGGCATGATATTATTGAATCCTTATAGCAACTCTGCAAAAAAAGTGCGGTTATACTCAGTACCAGTATTTAGCTGGTATGCAAAGATATGGCTGTACTAATTGCCAAAATACTGCAATATCTCCTGATTGTCAACTAAGCCACTTTCATAAGCCCTCCAAATACTCCCTCCCCCTGCAGATTTATTTGCCCTAATCTGCCCCTGGGATCCCCACCACACCTCCTCTGCATGATCCAACCACTGAAGGGTTAATGCCTGGTACAGCCAGAGGCCTCCAGAGTCCTAGCTCAGTTCCATTGCCTTCTATTCTGAGTTCTAACTGGCCCATTATACATATTTTATCAATGGGTACATTGAAGTATGGAGGAGATAAGTAAAGTCACCAATCTTGTAAATGGGAATCCTAAGAAATCAAACTTCAGATTCATATGCTCAGGTTTATTGCTTCGCATGGAACTTCTCCTTAAACACTGATTAGAAAAGCTAACAAAAGCCACTTGTGTTCTGCAACTCTGTGGTTAATCACCCGAACACTAGCAGATCTACAGTTTCTGATCAATTCAGGAAGTAACCTAGAACATCTCAGGTTCCGTGTCTTATCTGCCTTCCCTCGTTCTTACTCTCCATGCCACTTCCACCATGAAAATCATTTAAACACTATTTGGTCCAAATCCTTTTATCCTTACTTCCAGCACCAAAGTCTAACAACCTAAGCACTGGACCGGAATCCTTAAGATGAAGAAGACAGCATTCAGCCACACTGTTAAGTACCTACTACTTCTGTCTCTGTTTCATAAACTAAAAAGAGGAACAGAAAGATGTTAACATCTGTGCAAAAATGAAGTAATTCATGGATCTTACACATGAATACTAAATAGAAAATGAGAATAACATAGGGGACAGATGCCACGGTGACAATAAAAATCCAGAGAGGGGCATTTTAAAAGATCCCTCTTAAATCACAGACACATGTCTGGACTTAAAATGTGGGAAGTGAGGGTGGTATCTCCTTGAATGCTCAAATGTACTTCTTAATTGTGCATTCTGAGCTGCAAAGACCCCCTTGGCTTTCCTTGAAACGTAAACATTTAAAATTAAGTTCTAAAGTCTTTAAGATAGTGTTTAGTTAAAAATTAAGCAGTTACATAATTGGTTTAATGAGATCCAATTACAAAATTAGTGTAAATTAGAAGTAATAGAACAGAACATATAATTTCATAATTATGACACATAACAATAATGCAGAGATTAAGTTGGCCAGTGGTGCTAAAGCAGGAGGGGTGCATATAAATCTTAGAAGACTTGATGGCTTTCATGAGTCCAAATATCTCCCCTCCAACAGTTACTGCTCAAAAATATGTTTTAACTAAACAAGACTGATTTTGATTTCCAGACTCAGAAAACAACATTTGGGAAATTGCTAGTTCTTTCCCTTCCTTATTTGGCTAAAGTAGTGGGTGACTAGATGGGTAGATTTATTTCCTATCTCATTAAAAGAATGACCTTTCTTTTTAAGGTCTTAACAGATCATGGCAAGGAAGAATTCATTCTTCAGGGTGAGTGAAGCTGAAAACCCCACCAGTGTCATCCCCACCCCTCTGCTAGAAGAGCAGGCGAAGGCCTACTCTTGTGGGAGGGAGAGGCTGGGTTGGAGAGACACGATGAGAGAGACCACAGACAGATTAAAGCGCCTACAGCCTCCTATTTCAAATCAGCCCTCCAATTTGGGTCAGGGGACATAACCCTTCCTGCTGTATCTTTATCCTTTGGTTTTAAAAGAAGGGACAGATAGCATTTGACTAATGAGAAATTTGTGTTGCAATGTCTCACATCATTTTGGTATCGCCTCCTGTAAATTATGTCCAACTCCCAGAGGGCTAAAAAGAAACCATTCATTTATTAATGCACCTATTATTTTATTTATCCATTCAATAAATGTTTTGAGTTTCCTGGGAGAAGAGGCAATTTCCTATTCATCTTTACACAGCAAATCTTTAGCACAGTTGCTAGCATACAGAGACATTCAATGTTTAGTGAATTGCTGTTAATACACATTACAGATATTACCTGCCCTGGTATTGTGCAGAACAAAGACCTTCTCTATACCTGATTATGGCTTTCAGGAAACTTAGTTTTTGGTTAAGACAGACAATTATTATGTTAACAAAAATATGAGTTAAATAGTCTTCATCGACACTGCCGCAATGTCAGGGTGCAGTTGTTACTCAAGAGAAAAATAAATAGAAGAGTTTACAACTGTGAATCAGTAAAAGGAGGAAATGGTTCCCAAAAAACCCATGGCTATAACATGGGGAGGGTGGCCAGCCAGGTCTCACTAGAAGCCCAGTGCCATCAGGATACTTGTGGAGGCAGCAGCTCTCCAGACACACATGGCACCTGCTCTTATACACACCTCTGGTTTGGATCCTGCTGTTTGTCAAATTAAGTAGTAAATATCCCTTCATATACCTCAGCAAATGAACACTGGTAATCTGAAAATGACCCCAAAATGTAAGAGAAACATCTAAAAGTCTTGGGTATTTTTTTCTAATGATGTCTATTTTTGTTTGTTCCTTCTCAGTTATCATCCTTTCCTTAATGGGAGAAGCAAAGGGGCTTAGTGGTGCTCAAAGGCCATTATCAGTACGGGATGGAAGATTTATCCTTTCATGCCTTTTCCTCTAGTTTTCTAAATTTTCTTTTATTATTTTTACTTTCCTGTATGGTCCCTCCTTTTCCCTTCTTACTTTCTGTTCCCAGTAAACACTACCTCAAAATATCATTTATTTTATCAAACATGAGGGTTTACTTGACAAGAAAATACATCCTCAAAACACCTTGATCTAGTCACATTTCCCTGAACAATATCCAAGAAGATGCTCCATGTTAATTCAAATAATCAAACAGTGGCTATTTAAATAGCTTGGTTTAGAATCTGAAGGCACGGTTGCGTGCTGTGGCTCACGCCTGTAATCCCAGCACTTTGGGAGGTTGAAGGAGGCAGATCACTTGAGGTTAGGAGTTTGAGACCAGCCTGGCCAATGTGGTGAAACCCCGTCTCTACTAAAAATACAAAACTTAGCAAGGTGTGGTGGTGCATGTCTGTAGTCCCAGCTACTTGGGAGGCTAAGGCAGGAGGATCTCTTGAACCTGGGAGGCAGAGGTTGCAGTGAGCCAAGACTGTGCCACTGCACTCCAGCCTGGGCAAAAGAGCAAGAATTTGTCGCACACAAACATGCACACACACACACACGCACACACACACACACACACACACACGAATTTGAAGGCAGAGGTAAGAAAGTTTTAAGTTTTGATTAATATTTCAGACCCCTGATCCTATCATTGGATGGATACAAAGACACAAATGTGTTTCCTGCAATTCTAACCCCTAGAAGCAATGTATTACTTTATGTACAATGTATGTTTGATATAGTACGGTATCTGTCCCCTCCAAATTTCATATTAAAATGTCATCAATAGATACAATATTATCTATTATCTGAATTTTACAAATGAAGAAACAGGTGCTATGGCTTGGATATGGTTTGTCTCCTCCAAACCTCGTGCTGAAATTTGATCCCTGGTGTTGGAGGTGGGGCTTAGTGGGAGGCTTTTGGGTCATGGGGGCAGATCTTTTATGAACGGTTTGGTACCCTCTCTACAGTAATGAATGATTTCTCACTCTATTAGTTCACTCTAGACTTGTTGTTAAAGAATATGGCACTTCTCTCCCCTCTCTCTCTCTTGTTCCTTTACTTGCATGTGACACACCTACTCCCACTTCACCTTCTGCCATGAGTCAAAGCTTCCTGAGGCCCCACCAGAAGCTGAGCAGATGCCAGTTTCATGTTTGTACAGCCTGCAGAACTGTGAGCCAAATAAACCTCTTTTATTTTTTCTTTCTTTTTTAAAATTATTATTATTATACTTTAAGTTCTAGGGTACATGCACCCCATGTGCAGGTTTGTTACATATGTATACATGTGCCATGTTGGTGTGCTGCACCCATTAACTCATCATTTACATTAGGTATATCTCCTAATGCTATCCCTCCACCCTCCCCCCACTCCACAACAGGCCCCGGAGTGTGATGTTCCCCTTCCTGCGTCCAAGTGATCTCATTGTTCAATTCCCACGTATGAGTGAGAACATGCAGTATTTGGTTTTCTGTTCTTGCGAAAGCAAATAAACCTCTTTTCTTTGTAAATTGCCCAGTCTTGGGTATTCCTTTACAGCAATGCAGAACAGACTAACACAGTGCTTCAATGAATATTAGTACAAATATTCCTTACTGACATGGTAACAAAGTTGAAGCATTTGAGGTGAAAAAATATACAGAGGGAGGAACATTCTTAGAACTTATTCTATTTATTTATTTATTTATTTATTTATTTATTTATTTATTTTTTGAGATAGAGTCTCGCTCTGTTGCCCAGGCTGGAGTGCAGTGGTGCAATCTCGTTCATTGCAAGCTTGGCCTCCTGGGTTCACACCATTCTCCTGCCTCAGCCTCCCAAGTAGCTGGGACTACATGCGCCCGCCCCCATGCCCAGCTAATTTATTATTATTATTATTACTATTTTGTATTTTTAGTAGAGATGGGGTTTCACCGCGTTAGCCAGGATGGTCTTGATCTCCTGACCTTGTGATCCACCCGTCTCAGTCTCCCAAAGTGCTGGGATTACAGGCGTGAGCCACCGTGCCCGGCCTCTATTCTTGTTTTTCCCATTTCCCCGAAAGGTAGGAGGCATTTTCTAAGGGTCCCAAGGTATAAATTAGATTTACATAAACAGTGTAGCAGGATTCAGATGAGTTGTTTTGTGAACTAATATGAGACAGGACCTTTTACATTTTCCTTTGCATAAATCCATAAGAGTAAAAGCAACATCAATTATAAAGAATTTGAAACTTCTTCCAAAGCCCTATTGATAAACAAGCACCTAAATAAACTTGTTAAGTGAACCTATTTTTAAGGAACGAAAATAAGAGTGGCAGGAAAATGTCTGGAAGGTTTCCTACCAAAGTTTGAAGAGTAGTTACCTCAGGAGTAGAGAAATACAAGAGAAAGAACAGTCTTTTAACTGAACTGTAGATGTGCTTCAACTTTCCACGTGCTACAAAATCTTCTCTCTCTCTAGGAGGAGAGTCAGAAGGCCATCATCTCCACAGAGCTTGGAGTAACAGATTTTCTGAAATGGGTTTTTCAGCTACAGATTTTTAGATCTTTTCCAAAAAGGCTATTTCCATAAATAACCTTCCATGCAAACAACTTTTCATTTCCTTCAGACCTAAGTTAATATCACTCTTCCTTCTCCTGGCCATTAAAATTCAGGAATGGAGCCTGTTCTCTTGGATGTGCACTGCTTGGATGAAAATGAAACATTTCATGTTGGAATAAGCTTGTGAGCTCTCATCCCTCTTGTCATGGCCCTGGAGAAAGCTCTGACAGAAGAGGCTGGGCAGAAACATGGATAAGTACTTGGATACTTAAAAAGTCAAGTACAAGTGCCTGGGAAAATGCTGCTTTTAATGTTAAGGCTAGAGATGGGTCAACATTTTCACAGCAGTCTTCTCTTAAGGTAAAAAGTCACCTGGTGATTTCTACATCATAAAATCCAAAGGCTTTGACCTGTCTCTTCTTTCTGGCCTCTTTGCAGCAATTGATGCTGTTGGACTCTGACACTGAAATCCTCAACTCTTGGCTTTGGACATACTCCTCTTCCTGGCTTTCCTTATGCCTTCTTTATTGTCTCCTTTCTTACTTCTCTGCTTGTCTTTCTTCTTTTTTCTGAATGGAGGATCCCCTGGGTTCTGTCTCAAGTTTTCTCTTCTGTCTTTACACTCTTTCCCTTTCCCCACCATTCTCTAATCTGACGGCTTCCATGGTCATTCTATGTGAAATGTCACAGTGAGAACTGTCATTTACAGAGAGAGTCTCTGCACTCTATGAGGCACCTTCTACACATCATCTCACTGAGTGCACAACCCTCCTGTGGGCAATGCAACAGTTCCTCCATTTAGATGAGGAGGCAGAGGCTCAGGCAGGTTTCAAGACTCATCCATGAAATCTAAGACCACCCAGCAGATAAGTGACAGTGCAATGGTTTGATACTCCTGGCTCCAAGGCTCAAGCTGTTGCCCCACCACTGCTCCTCCTACCCATGACTCCTGGCCTCCAGTCTCACCTCAAAATCAACAAGAATTTTTCTCTGACCAACTTCTCTCCCTAACAAAGATACCTTCTGAAATGACCCACCGCCTTTCTCCCAATGACCGGGCTCACACTGGCTGGCATCTCAGGCTCATCTTGCTCTCTTTGACTTCCCTGGTCCTCACATATCCTCACCCCTAATCTCATCTGCTGCCAAATTCCATCTTTAACTTCCTCTTTCTCCTCTCCAAACCAACCTGCACACTGCTGCCTGCCTTTTTGCCTAGGTCACATTATTCCCTTAGTTATAACCTTTAGAGGTTTCCCCTTGTTGATGAAATAACATCCAAATGCCTACCTTTTTTATTCAAAGTTCCAATCTACATTTCCTGTCAGATCTCTCAGAGTTTCCCTATAAGTGGACCACGTGCCAGTGAAACTGGGCAACTCATGATCCCCCGAGTGTCCAAGTGTCTCATGTTTATGCTTTTATTCAGGCTACTCCCTCTTATAGACAGACACTCCCCATCTACAGAAATCCTCCTCTCTCGGGCGTATTGCCACCCCACTCCCGCATCAATTCCTTCCACCTGCTCTCATTAGATGCCACTCTCCATCTTGAAGCCCTCACAGGTTTTCACTTGGACTTCTCTTGCAAAACCTGGCATATTCTATTTTGGGTTTGTTATTCCCCCCTTCCTCTTACCAAGGTCTATGTTCCTTGGCAGAGAGGGAATATATGATACTCTTTAGTGTATATCCAAACATCTATTCATTCAAGGCATATAACAGGAGTCTAATAAATATATATTGATTAAACTTACTCAAACTTTGATAAAAGACAGCGATGTGAGGTCAAATATAATGTTTTACATGGTTTCCCCCCAGCAAGCAGAAACAAAATGTTTTTCACAAATGAGATCAAGAAAGTATAAATGATGACCATGAATATATATCCTTAAAATGATTACCTTTTTCCTCTGATTTAAAAGGAGGAGGAGGCAGAAAGGCAAAAGTGGAGAAGACAAACAATGTTAGGTTTTGTCCATTGTCAAATGAAGAATGAAGAGAAAACAACTTAGAGTAGAATGCAAGTCATTAATAACAAAGCATGAAAATGCTGAAATATAAACATCCAATTTACATGTAGCTCTCTTGTGACATAAATATTGGCAGGTAAGGTAAACTATGACGATATGAACTTATAATTATTAATATGTTATCCTCCAAAAATATTCTTTGGTTGATCCCTAACTATAGTCTCTTCCTAAGTAGATGATAAGTTTGCTGACACTTCAGCATTGGTGCAAATATTGGTGCTTATTAAGTGTTTTCCTTAGGACCAAGTAGCAAGGAGGATCATGAGTTATCTAAGGCCTCTTTCTCAAATGGTGAACACAATTTTGTTAGATTTTTTTTGGGGGGAGATATCCAATATATAGCTATATTTAATTATAAAAATGCAAACATTTATATCAGATGCAATGATACTCACTGAACGTGTATCTATATACACTAAAGTTGTAACTTTAATTTCCCTTTCGGGCCAATTTGTTTTAATTTTCTATGAGACAGAAGAAACTTCAAATCATGGACAACCACATAATCTTACTGAGGAGTTATAAGCAACTGGATATGGCAAGATCAGTGCAAATTCATCAGCAACATTGGTAAAACAATCCGAAGTATGTGTTGATGGAAAAATCAGTGCTCTCCCATTAGGACTGAACATCATACTATCTCCAAACATAATTCAATTTCTTAAACTCTTGATTTTTGAAATCCAAGGGATTCCTTAAGGTATGAATCTTCTGTTCATATTTAACAATGGGAAAGTTCCAGATTTCAGGAAGTGGGACATCAGCAATGATAATAGGTATGAGGTCAGAAGGTGATGGACATTACTGAGATGGTGCTAGTTATTGCACAGAGAATCCAGGAAATATCATCTGTGCACTGGAGACTCAAATTTGGTCTGAATAACCAAGGAGTCTACTGGGAACCAATGACTTAGTCAGTGTAGATGTTCTTCAGTGATTGACAGGCCTATTTAAATATTAACAAAAAATGAATGCTACAATCTCCATATTTTGGGAGGATGGTAGGGTAGAGAAGATGAAAACCTACAGGATGCAATATAGTCAGAAATTAAAACCTTCTGGTCACTCACCACAATCATTTGAGCCACGTAACTTTCAGGTCCAGTGTATTCTGTTGGGTCTTTAACTTTCACCAGGACTATGAAGTACAAATAATGCCACATATTGTGTTCTGACTTAATGTGTTCCTCAAATGAAACCGTTTTATTATCAAACTTGTCTCTCTCAAGTCCTGCAAAACACAGGCAACATAATATATGTAATTCATCATTTAATCAGTACTTGCTTCGTAGCATAAAAACAAAACATAATAATTATTGTGAAAAAATGCTTTCAGTAAGAGTGTGCCAATTTAAAATGTTATGATTAAAAACAACACAGCACATAAGACCTCCAGAAAAGAGGCCATCGTTTATAGATTTTTTTCCCAACTAACATTTATTTTTCCCCATGGATCCTTGGAAATGTGCAGTTCTATAATAGATGAAAAAGTTGCAGATAATTTTAAATATAGCCATATCAAAATTTTCAAATTAAACCGTACCACAAGTCTGAGAAAAAGAGGTAAAAATGATCATGCAAGAAAAGGTATGCTTGCTAATCAGGACAGGAAAAAAAGAAATAACACACACACACATCATTTTACCCAGGAACTTGGATTAAAAGAGGGAAGGAATTGAGAGAGTCATCTGTTTTCAACCACTTGGAGTCAGTGAAAGGAACACAAAGGAGATGGCTGTCCACATACTGAGGACAATGAGGGATCACACTACGCCAGCCCTCTAGGGTACCATGTTTCAGGCATTTTGGGGAGGGGGTGATATGTTCCATTTCCAAGGCACATTTTCAAGCCTTTGGAAGTACAGTAAAGAAAGTATCTAGATAATAAAATTCTTTTCTCTCAAAGTTAGAGAATAGATGAAAAGAAATGAATAGAGATGAAAAAAAAAAAACATCTATGGAAACATGAATTCGAATGCCAAGTGAAGTGGGATGTTGGGATTCAGTTTGGTTTTTAGAGCTCGGATATTGAAGAAGAAACCAGGAAACTGAAATCCAACCCTGGCTATTCTTTCTCTAAGCATTTTTTGTAAGTTCACTCCGGGATGTAGAAAACCCTTTTATTTATTTACTTTTTTGAGACAGAGTCTCACTCTGTTTCCCAGGTTGAAGTGCAGTGGCTCACTGCAGCCTCAACCTCCCAGGTTCAATTGATCCTCCCACCTCCACCTCCTAAGTACCTGGGACTAGAGGCATGCACCACCATGCCTGGCTAATTTTTGTTTGTTTGTTTGTTTGTTTGTTTGTTTTTGTAGACATGGGGCTTGACAATGTTGCCCAGCCTGAAGACCCTTTTTAAATAATAAGATATAAAGCACAATAAGTAAAAAATCTGTCCCCAGTGAAGGGGTGACTTTTTATTTACATTATTGGATATCTGTATGGAAAATACCATAAAATTCTGCTGGCTAATGGCTAGGCCTCATCTTATTTGACCTATCATCAACTCAGCATGCCCAAATAAACTCCAATTCTCTTCGCTAAACCTGCTTCAACCACAGTCCTCCCATTTTATTCGATGGCAGCTCTGTTCTAGTTGTTCAAGCCAAAAGCCTAGACGTCATTCTTGAATCCTCTCTGCCTCTCACACACCACATCCAATCCATGTTGAAATGCTTTTGGCTCTACCTGCAAAATATATCCAGAATCTGACCACTTCTCATCCGCTCTGCTGCTACACTCTGGTCTGAGCCATTGTCATCCCTCATGTGTATTACTGCAGTAGACTCCCAGGCCTCCCTGTTTCCATCTTTACTCTCCACAGCCCATTCTCAACACAGCAGCCAGAGTGATCCTTTAAAAACCTAAGAGAAATAGTGTCTCCCTTCTGTTGCAAACCCAACAATGGCTCCCCCACCCCTTGAAGACAAAGGTCAAAGTCCTTACAAGTGCCTACAAGTAGAGTTGCTAGATAAGCTACAGCATGGTCAGTTATGTTTGAATTTCAGATAACAATAAATAATTCTTTAGTATGAGTCCCATGCAATATGTATTTGCTAAATCCTATGTGACTTGGCCTCATAGCCACACTAACCTTACCTCTTACTATTCTCTCCCTTGCTACCTCCCATGCAACCATACTGGCCTCTTTGCTTTGTTTTAAACACAGGGTCTTTGGACTTCAGGACCTTTGGAATGGTTGTTTCCTCTGATCACAAAACTCTTCTCACTGACATCTCTTTAACTAACTCATTCACCTACAAGTTTTTGCTGAAATCTCACCATCTCATTGTGGTTTAACTTGATCACCCTGTTTAACAACACAACCAATCCCTTCCTTTCTGCTGACCTTCTTGATCACCTTTTCTCTTTTCCTCTCTTTTTCTTATAGGGCTTACTACCTCCTTATAGGCTGAATATAGCCATATCAAAGTTGTTAAATTAAACTGGATTACATCTCTAAGATAAGGAGGTAAAATGACTGTGTAAGAAAAAGCCTGTCTGATAATCAGCAAAGAAGAAAGAAATGTTATTTCATCTAGCAACTTGGATAAAAATTTATTATGTTTATTAAGTATTGTATTTGTCCTCTCACTAGAGTATAAGAGCCACCTGGGCAGATATATTTGTTTCTTTTCTTCACCAATGGTCCCAATAGCTCAGAATGATGTTTGGTACATAGTTGGCACTCAATTAAATACTGATTGATTGAATTAAGAATGTTCTACTACTAAAATATTGTTCCACTAGAATGGCTATAACCAAAACCAGATAATAATAAGTGATGGTGAAGATGTGGAGAAATTAGAATCCTTATACACTGCTAACAGAAATGTAAAATAGTGCAGCTGCTACTTTGGAAAACAGTTTGGCAATTCCTCAAAGGGTTAAATAGAGTTACCATATAACTAAGCATACTCCACTCCTGGGTATATATATTCAAGAGAACTGAAAATGTATGTTCACATAAAAACTTGTACATGAATGTTCATAGCAGCATTATTCATAATAACCAAAAATGGAAACAACCCCAATGTCCATTAATTGATGAAAGGATAAAATATGGTATATCCATTGACAGGATAATTTTTTACAATAAAAAGGAATGAGGCACCTATACCTGCTACAACATGAACCTTTAAAACATCCTACTAAGTGAAAGAAGCTAGTTGCAAAAGTCCACATATTATGGTTCCTTTTAAATAAAATGTCCAATATAGGCAAATCCACAGAGGCAAAAAGTAGATCGGTGGATGGCTGAGGGGAGGTGGAGATGGAAGGTTAGGGATCAGATGATGGCTAAAGGGTATGGGGTTTATTTCTGGGACAATGAAAATGTTCTAAAATCAATTATGGTGATGGATGCACAACTCTGAATATACTAAAAACCACTGAATTGTACATATTAAATGGGTGAATTATATGGTGTGTGAATGATATCTCAATAGAGCTATTAATAACAAACACAAAACACTAAAAACAAACAAAAGAGAGAAAAACAAACCAAACAAAAGAGAGAAAATGTTAAAGTAGATTTTCCCAGAATTCAATTCAAACATCTACCAGTTGCAAGGTAATGAGGCTATAAAAATAAGGTTCTTACTATCAATTAATCTGTAATACAGTAGAGGAAACAGACAATTTGTGTTATATTCTGAAGAGGTATAAACTGCCAAGGGAGCATAAAGAAGGACAAAATGAATTCTGATGAGGGTCATTTTAAAAGGTTTCCAAGAGGTATAAAGCTTGAAAAATCCAGCCTCAGTACATGATTATGGTAAGTGGAGAAGAGGCAGATGGTAATAAAAGGTACTTGATTTTTATTGTGCACCTATTGATGCTGACAACTATAAAGATGTCTAAATATGCTATTATAATTACAGTAATCCAATCTGACCTTTTAGCATGTGAGGAAATAGATTCAGAATGATTCAATAAATTGCTCAAGTTAATACCCTATTTAGCAGAAGAGTCGGTCAGTATTTAAATACAAATATTTCTGACTCTAAAGCCCATGTTCTTTTGCCATCTGGGCAGGAGAAATGGCATGGAAAAACCAGAGATGATAGTACATGACCTGTTTGGGGAATGTCAATTACTCTGGTGTGGCAGAAAGGGAACATTTGGAGATGCAGACGAAATGGTACCTCTGGCAGAAACAATGGCAAGCTTTAAACTCAAAGCTAAGGCATCTGTATTTTATTCTGAAAGCTGCTTCTTCCTCTTCCTCCCCTTCCTCTTCTTCCTCTGCTTCTTCCTCCTCCTCTTCCTCTTCTTCTTCTTCTCCTTCTCCTTCTTGTTCTTTGACAGTCTTGCTCTGTCACCCAGACTGGAGTGCAGTGGTGCAATCTCAGCTCACTGCAACCTCCGCCTTCCAGGTTCAAGCGATTCTCCTGCCTCAGCCTCCTGAGTACCTGGGGTTACAGGAATGCGCCACCATGCCCAACTAATTTTCGTATTTTTACTAGAGATGGGGTTTCACCATGTTGGCCAGGCTGGTTTTAAACTCCTGACTTCAGGTTATATGATTGCCTCAGCCTCCCAAAGTTGCTGAGACTACAGGCAAGAGCCACCGTACCCAGCCTATTCTGAAAACTTCTGAGGAGAAACTAGTGTATTCAGAGATATACTTCAAGTCATTCCTGTGGCAGGATTCAGGGGAAGATTGGGATAAGAGACTGAGGATGCAAGACCCAGGCACCAGGGCAGTGGAGGGGGAAATGTAAAAGAGGGAAACTGGTTGTTCTTCATCTTCGTAAGTTCTTGCTCTCTAAGCTTCATCATCCATTCTGCGGTTTTAGCATCATCTTGGTAATGTTTTCTCAATACTTATCCCCATTATTGACCTTTCTTCTCAACTTCCATTCCTATTCCAGCTGCCAGCTGGATATATCCACCTGGATAGCTTGTGGGGGATGTCAAACTCAGCTCGTCAAAAATTTGTTTCTTGAGCCCTCTTCTTCGCCTCTGTTAATGAAGTCCCCATTGACCAGAGAACTTAGTCATTCTTAGACTCAGGCACTGACATTCCACCCAGCACAGTTCTTGTAGAATGTTGCCTTTCTCATCATTTGCCAAATACACCAAGACACCTTCATCTACTCTCTTTTCTGCCTTCCAAGTATTCCTTCTTCAAGACTCAGCTCCCCCACTTCCACCACCGACTCCCACAGACACAACCAGCTGTTTGATCTTCTGGGCCCACAACGCTTCACTATGAAAATGTGTCTGTTTCTATCTTAGCCTCTACCATTTTACTGTCTGACTCATTTTTGCATTACCAGAACCTGGCAGAGTGTCTGGAGAACAGTAGGCACACAACTAAATTTGACAGAATAATTAAATAAATGAATAAGAGAGACTGAAGAGGCATTTTGGAATGAAAACTTGAAAGGACTTGATGCCCAATCAGAGGTATAGATTGAGGAAGAAGGAGAAATCAATAATGACTCTGAATTTTCTGGCTTGAATGACTTGAGTTTATGATAATATCGGCACAGCAAGATACCCTATCCTTAGAATAGGAATTTATTTTTATTTATTTATTTATTTATTTGAGACAGAGTCTCGCTCAGTCATCCAGGCTGGAGTGCAGTGGCGCAATCTTGGCTCACTGTAAGCTCCACCTCCCAGGTTCAGGCCATTCTCCTGCCTCAGCCTCCTGAGTAGCTGGGACTACAGGCACCTGCCACCACACCCGGTTATTTTTTTTGTATTTTTAGTAGAGACGGGGTTTCACCATGTTAGCCAGGATGGTCTCGATCTCCTGACCTCGTGATCTGCCCGCCTCGGCCTCCCAAAGTGCTGGGATTACAGGCGTGAGCCACCGCGCCTGGCCTCAGAATAGGAATTCTGACTTGTCATCAAATCCTTTCTCCGTGCTGTTGTTTTGTCACACCTGGTCTTTTGACATCTCTTTCTCACTGGATTTTCAGCCTCTAGTAACTCAACGTTCATAATTAATATGGATGCAAGAGCTAATCTGTGTCTCTGCTTCCTGCTCAGCTCTGTCATCTGCTAATCATCACCCTCCCACGGCCACTTTCTGGATCACTGGCTATTGTTTTTCTGAGTCAGGCTTCACTTTCAAACATCTGGACATTGTCTTCAAGGTTGGGAAAGTTCCAACTGGTCCACTGCCTGTCACAGAATCTACATCCTCTTGTCCTACTCTGGGTGTCCCTTGGCACACACCAGGAGCCAGTTCTCTCCTACTGTGGAGATTCTCTCCTTTCTTATTTGGTACTATGTCCTTCTTTGGATCACAACTTCACATCCAACTTTACCAAGAACCATTTCTAGACCAGCCACTATTTTACAGCCTACTAGCACAACCCCCAAATATACCAACCATTTAAATCATTCTTGTTAACTAAGTTCTCCTAACATATATGAGATGAATTATATCATTTGTGTGGTTGGAGCTTCTAGGAATGAATGAATATACATTATCATATAGATCAGATATACACTATCATAATGCTTCTTATGTGTTTCTGATGAAGGTCCTTTAAGGGAAGAGAGCAGAAAATGTGTATGTTTCTTTTGCTGAGGTCCCAGAAAGTATCAGCTAAAAGTACCTGAAGCCAATTATCCATTTTTAAAAAAGTTTCTATTTTATTTTAAATATTCACACTGAATTTGCTCTATTTTACGATAATCTGTTTGTTCTAGTATAAAAATACTATTTAAGTTTACACTTAGGTTAAATTACCTAAGTGCTCCCACAGATTTTTGAATAAATGTGAAGCTTCTAGAAAACAGACAATATTGATCTCACATCTCTTTGAGCGTCCTGCGATGTCACCCTATATTCCTGTGGGCAGCACTCCACAGAAACAATACCCTGCATGTAACAAAATCTGGAGCAACCTGGAATCAGCACACCTGCTGTCTGCAGTACATACGATCTCAGTATTTTATCTTCCTTTCGTAGATTATAAGCCAGACAAGTATAGAGACAGTATCAGCCTGAGGCTGACTTATTGGATAGTCATTCATTAAGCAAATATTTATGGATCTTCACCAATACACATTATGAAAGTGAAAAAAAAGTGAAAAAAAAATGGGTAAGACATGGATCTGGTTCTCTTAAAGAAGAGAAATTAACATGTGTTGAGGGCAGACCTTCAGTTAAGCCTCCTGCTAGAGATTTTTATATACATGATCTCATTTATACTTATCACAACACCAAACCGTGGCATTATATTCCTCATTTTCCAGGTGAGGAAACAGTAGCTCAGGATGATTAGAAATTTGGCCAAGATCACATAGCTGGGATGCAGAACCAGTGTAGACCTATGACTACTTGACTATAAAGTTCATGCATTTTCTTTGATGTGAGAATGCATGGCATCCAGCAGAGGTGATCAGACAACAGAAATATGTACAGTGCCATATCACTAAGTGCGATGTGAGGAATTTAGGGGCAGATGTGTGAGATCAGAGAAGACTTCTAGAACAATGGTATTAGAGCTGTGTCTCAGAGCGTAGGAATTGGGGCATTCCAAATGAAATTGTTCTCCCACAACTAAGAATACATGGAGAGTCTAGGAAGTTAAAGGTAAGTAATGTAGTTGACCTGGAACTTGAGCTATAAATGGGAGAATGGTGGGGGAGAAGGTAGGCAAAAAAAGAAGGGGCCAGATTGTGGGGTAGCTTAGATGCCAGGAAAATTAGAGTTTCAGAGTTATAGACTGTGCAATGTTATTGATGGCTTTTTGAGTAGGGAAATGAATAATTCAAACTGGAAAAATTAGTCTGGCAACACTGAGCCGGCCATTTGGGGTTGTGAGCCAGGGTTAGCCTGAAAAACTAAGATGTGGCTGTGGGAATGTGTGGAAGGATGTGGGTGAGATTGTGAAAGTGGATTCATTAGCACATGGTAGCTAGGGCACCTGGAAGAGAAAAAAGGAGATGCTAAACATGCTGGTGTGGTTCCCTCACATAACTGAAGGCACTGTGGGATATTATTAATAGCTATATGCACGTCAGGATAAAGAGCTAGGCTAGAGGAGGGAGACGGAAAGGGATGATGCACTGGCTTCAGACATGGCCGGTTTGGCTGCCAGGAAGACATGCCTGTCTAACTGTCCAGTGAGCGACTGAAAACAGAGGGGAAAGCCTGGGGAAAAGGTTGGAGCTGAGCGTGCATACTTGGCAATAATCTGCATAAAAGTGATGTCAAAGAGGAGGACAGAGAGAAGAGACAAGGAGTCAAGGGCAAAATCAAAACCTCCTATTATGGGGTTGTGAGAGAAGGAATAGGACCCTGTGACCAAGAAAAAGCAAGCAGAGGGAGAAGAAAAGGTCAGCGGGAAGTGAACAGTGAGATTCAAGAACACTTCAGTTTGTTGACGACAGTTATTATGATGTTTAAAGGAATTTATAGGTGACTGGCTTTTTAATAACTGTGAAAGCCAAAGAGAATTCTGACTGTGAAGGGAAAGCTTAGAGGAGCAGGAATCATGGGTAAGCAATGGGCTTAGGTTGCTGTTCATGTTTTTCGTTAAAACATAGGAGACAGTATCATGTCTTAGAATGAGGCTTCCAGCCTCTGGTCCATTCTTCCAAAGAGCATCTCTCTCAGAGGTAGTGTACCAACATGATGATGATCACGACCATGAAGAAAAGGGCATAGAGGAAGAAGCAGTGCAAAAGAAAGACCATGAGATACACCGAGAAGTTTCCGAGGGCAGCGTCATTCTCCTGTATGGGACTCACTCTTCTAAACAACAGCTTGGCCCCACAACGCTATACCCTTCCACCAGGATCTGTCCTCAGGCTTGGTTATACTTGAATGAGAACCTGTCACTTTGTCATTTTAGAATAGGATAACTGAGTGGACTTTTGAGTTAGGGAGTCCTCTGTTCAAATCTTGGCTCTTCTGCTTACTAACTGGATGTTGATGGGAGCCAAGTCTCTGTTCCTATGTTTGTAAAGGGCTGGTAATATACATCATACATAGTATCAAAATAAATACCTAAGTAAAAAGCCAGACATGGAGTAAGTATTCAATAAACAATGATTTAAAAAAATGTTTATGATGAGGCTGAAAGGGGACAGAGCTCCAGGTGAGGTGACCCAAGGGAAGAGAGGATCATCCTTGGAAAGGCTGAGAAGAGAAGAAAGGAGACACACATACATCTATTGTGAAGAAATGGAGGTGATGATAGTTGTCACATAAAGAAGAGAAAAATAGAAAAAAACACAGGGTGTGGGTTATTTTTCTATAAAGGTAGGAGGAGGTATATTTATCTTCCAAGGTTGAAGGAGTGTCCTCTCAGCCTCTTCCCCAAACCCCCGAATTGTATGACATCTTCCTTGATTACATCTCAATTTTGCTTTCCCCATCTCATTGAGACATTAAACAGAAGACTCTTGGATCACTCTCAGTTTCCTTCTAGCAAATCTCTACTCAGCACTGCACAATCCACTCTACCTGAATTCACCAAAGCCTCCTAAATAAGAAATCAGAAGGCTTTTCCAGACCATGTTACTGGCTTTCTCTGCTTGGAGAGAGTTGATAATGAATTCATTTCTTTCCAAATTGTTTTCTCCCCTCTCTTCCACAGGCCACCCCTTCCCGGCTCTCCTCACAGTATTCTGACTTGGTACTCTGAGTTGTTGGTGTGTGCTCCTCTTTCTCTTCTAACTCTTCAAAGCTGGGGCTTTCCACTTGCAGTCTCTCTGCTTCTCGTCTCACTTGGACACCCTCCTCCACACTCCAGATTTCACTATCACATATAGGCTGAGGATTCCCCCAGTTAAGTCTCCAGTGGAGACTCAATCTCTGAGGCTCAGACTCATGAACTGACCTGTGCTGTATCCCACTGGGGTGGGTCAGTATACACCTCAGTTTCAGGATTCTCAAAGTTAAACTCAGCATATTCCTACCTAAATTGTTTTTTTCACCTATTCTCAAGCTCAATCGCTTGTTAGTATTACCATCCGCTTGGGCACCCAAGCTATCTTTCATATCCTTTCCTAACCATCAAGATTTAAAGATGTGATCTCCTAAGTATTTCTTGACTTTGTCTTCTACCCTTATACTGCCACCACTAACTCTCCTGCTTTCGTTACCTTTCACTTGGACTGTGGTAATGACCTCCTACCTGATGACTCTGCTTCTGGTACTGTTTCCTGATGAATGACCTCCCAAAGCTGCCACAGTGCTCTAAAACAAAAAAAAAATTAGACCCTGCACTGTTCTACTTAAAATTCTTTAATGGTTCATCTTCCCCTGTAAGTCCGGATGATAAAGTCCAAGCTGCCTAACATAAAAGGCCACAGGTGGTCTGGCCAATCTCCTCTCTTAGCGTGCCCTGCTCTGAAGTTTATGTCAGAAACACTGAGCTGCTTTAGAGTAAGTGAAGGCCCTTGTACTGTTCTTCCACCTCCATGACTGTGCTTGTCCTGGCCTTTCTGCTTGTATTCACTTTGATCTGGCAACCACTCCCTTTCATCTTTTACCACCAGCTCAGTTACCATCTCTTCTAAAGGCTTTCCTGACTCTTCTTTCTTACTCCCTACCCCACCCTGGAGAGGTATCTCTCCTCTGGGTACCTGCAGCTTCCTGTAAACTTCTCTACCATTTCCTTCCATGCATGAGATAGCAAGGCTATTTATTGGGTTTGTATCCCAAAATAGATCGTGAACACACCAAAACAGGGAATGACTACTTTCTATTTGTTTCTACTGAATATAGCATATTATTTTACATTATTACCTGGTACACCTTCAACTGTTGGAGGAAGGTAGAAAAGGTTTGGAGAGCCACTGAGGTGAGTAAGTCACTCAACAAAAGTTGAAGCAAGGAGAGAATGAAATGTATTGAGGGCCCAATCTGTTACATAGAGTAATGTTGTAGTGAACCCCTTAGGCTTGTTTTGTGATTATCACCAAAAGATTTTTTTCAGCCTAATGTGGCAACAAGGAAGGTGACTGAAACCTAGAGTGGGTGATCACCCAAAGAGGAGGATAGATTCTAGGGTGCCAAGAGACCAACTACAAAGACATCTGAAGCCAGAAAGAGGTGGTGGGTACAGAGAAGAGGGCAGAGCCGAGGGGGATGATGAGGGCAGCGAGAAGGAAGGAGAAGGCTGTGTGCACTGGGAGAGATGATGATGGGAGAAGGGGAGGGGAGTGATGTGTTTGTGTGTGTGTGTGTGTGTGTGTGTTTGTGTGTGTGTAAGAGAGACAGAGAGAGAGAAAGACAGAGAGAGGAGAGAGAGAAATTAAAAACTGAGAGAAGGGCCAGGCACGGTGGCTTACACCTGCAATCCCAGCACTTTGGGAGGCCGAGGTGGGTGGATCACCTGAGGTCAGGAGTTCGAGACCAGCCCAGCCAACATGGAGAAACCCTGGCTCTACAGAAAATACAAAAATTAGCCGGGCGTGGTGGTACACGCCTGTAGTCCCAGCTACTTGGGAGGCTGAGGCAGAAGAATCAGTTGAACACAGGAGGCGGAGTTTGCATGAGCTGAGATCGTGCCACTATACTCCAGCCTGGGTGACAGAGCAAGACTCCATTTCTAAATAAATAAATAAACAAACAAGCAAACAAACAAACAAACTGAGAGAACGCTCAGTTCAGAATCCAAAACATAGTGATGTCAGTGAGTAGAAGTTCAAGATGCTGGAAAATCATATTCGGATTCATATTCTAACAAAATTAAATATCATTCTGTTGTGTAATAAATATGTTACTGTGATTAAAAGCCTGTTTGCCAGTTGGTGAAATCTTTTGGCATTTTGCATCACATTTCTATAGTCAGAGAATCATGTAAATCATAGAAATAATGACAGGATAGCTTTGGGGTATAATTCCTCTCTCTATTTATGGAAGCAGAGAATTCCAGTCTAATGCTCAGTTACATAATCTGAATTTTATCCAGCCTTCATTTTGAAATAATTTTTCCAAAAGCATGAAAAATAAAAATCCCTCTAGCCCCTCTTTCCTGCAAACAGTTTATTCATCTATTATTTTAGCATCTGCAGAACACTTACCACAGATGAAACAAGTTGTCTTTAGAATTTCTTCTTTTTTCTGTTTTTCACTTCTGAGATCAGCAAAAGTGTCGATGATAACACCAAAAATCAAGTTCAGAACAATAATGATAACAATGAAATAAAAAAGAAGGTCATAAACCACTCGGGCAGCAAACAAGGGCTCCTGAAATAAAAATTAAAAAAAAAATGTGTGTGTATATAGATATACACATGCATATGTATATATATGTGTGTGTGTGTGTGTGTGTGTATACACATATATACACACACACACTTTCTAGGCATATTGATTGAGGACACTGTCTAGCATAGAGAATATATTCAATAAATGTTTGCGAAATGAATATAAATAGTATCCCAAGTGGGAAAGATAAGGCTCACTTTCCATCTTTACTTGAAGTGTTGTAAGAAAAACTTCTTAGCCTATTTCCAGAACCACTTAAATTTCTCTAGGAGTGACACATGTCTTTCCCACAATGGTGGGACTTTGCTTTCTTTAGAAATGACTTTATTATGCCATTCTGCTAAATGCATTTTGGCACAGTGGTCTCCTATCCCAGACATTGTAGAAAAGGTAGTTAAATGCCAATTCCAAAAGTCAGTGATTAGGGAGCTAAGGAGGACCTAATGATCTGTCAATTTCTGGAGTAGGCTTTATCTCGGCCATACAGTGTCAAGTATATACAGCTCCTTCTTATTTCTACCTGAGGAACAGTATTAAAATGCAAATTAGAGACTATGCAATCCAGTTTTTTAACTGAAGAGGAACCTGAGGTTAAGAGGTTAGATGACTTGACAATATGATACAACTGGCCTGAGCAGAGCTAAGATGCTTCAAGCTCCCCGCCTGGCACTTGAGATTTTCCAGCTAGTGAGAAATGTTTCCACTTTGCCATTTGAATATATGAAATCCTGTTAGAATTGGCTCAATTGTACTTATCATGGATAAATGATGGAGGCTATTCCTATGCAGAAGCAAAGAGTAAATCTTCATGCTCAAGAAACCTGATAGGCAAGACGAAACCTCGTTTATGTTATTTATGTAACAATCAACTCCTATATAAAGTTCGCAGTCATGATTTCATTGCTGTAATGCAATACACAGATTAACTTGGAAACATTTCACCACTCTACAAACACACAAAGAATTGTAGTACATTAGCTGTCTCTATGTAATCCCAGTAAACAATTAATTGGCTTTAACAGCTATGGCTATACTTTTAAAGCAAATGGTACAATATATTATCCTGAAAACCAAACCCAAATTATAAATGCTGTGAAGAAAGGTTTAAAAAAAAGATGTGCTTCCTGAAAAAATACTTTTACTGTGGCTTACATCTTTTGATGGCCTTCTTAGCACATCCCCCACGCCACCGCCGTTCCTGAGGCCCTGGTTCAGCACAGTGACAATGCACATAAGGAGAGTGTCACACGTCCTTTCAATTCCATCTTCATACTCTTCATCAGCTAAAAAACACATAGAAATATATGATATAAACTATGTAAATATATATAAAATAAAATACACATAAAATGAAATATACATACAATAAATACACATACATAAGTATGTGTATATATACACATATGTAAATATACATAAAATAAATATACATAAAAGATACATACAAATATATAAGAATATAATATTAAAAACAGTGTAGCAAACTTAACGTTTAAAAAAATACACTGTTGCCTCCTTCTAACGGGCTATTTCTAATTGTGCCATGAAACAACTTTTGGAAGTCACACAGCATCTGTTCCATATGTGGCAGCACATGACTGACACATAATAATGAAGCCACATATATAATGTCCTCAAATATTTTGTTTCTTCTATAGGTGGAAAATAACAGGATGAAAAGCACAAAACATAAGGCTCACATTCTTGTGCTTGTTATGATAGGAAGAGATTGTGGTAAAACCTGGAAACACAGCCATGTTACCAAGGGGGCAGAAGTACTGCACGGGAAAGAGCGTGAACAAGGAAGTGTGCTTGGCTTCCAGTTCTGCTCTGTTCCTGCACTGGGACTTGGGCAATATTAGGATCCTCATCTGTAAAATGGGGAGAGCTGTCTGGGGGTGACACTCTTCAGAGGGTTGTTTAAGAATTACATTTAGGGGTCCAGGGGCAGTGGCTCATGCCTATAATCCCAGCACTTTGGGAAGTCGAGGCGGGTGGATCACTTGAGGTCACGAGTTCGAGACCAGCCTGGTCAACATGGAGAAACCCCATCTCTACTAAAAATACAAAAATTCGCTGGACATGGTGGTGTGTGCCTATAATCCTAGCTACTTGGGAAGCTGAGGCAAGAGAATCACCTGAACTCGGGAGGTGGAGGTTGCAGTGAGCCAAGATCACGCCACTGCACTCCAGCCTGGGTAACAGAGCAAGACTCTGTCTCAAAAAAAAAAAAAAAGAAAGAAAGAAAGAAAGAAAGAAAAGAAAAGAAAAAATACATTTAGGGTATGTAAAATATTATACTTTGCACAGAGATTGGCATACACACAATAGTTGCTTAAAAATTGGGGCAGATATTATTTCTTTATTGCGGTTAAGTGTCTAAGCTTTCTTGAGGACCAACCTGGAGTTCTTGATAAGAAGCACAATGTATTTATGTAAAAAATTCTATTCAGGGATGAAGGGGGAAAGAGAAAAAGATATAATGTGAAAGAAAAATTCCTATTCTTATTTTGTTTAAAGGTATTGGTATCCAACTTGAAACATAATTTCTTAGCCATTTAAAATAGTGAAAAATTAATACTAAGTTGGATATTAGAATCAGAAATTCCTAACACTGGCAAATGACCAGAAATGTAATTTTCTCACCACAAGGTTAAGGAACCACAGGCGTGATAAATTTTGGGATTATGCAGCCACAATATGCACGTCAAGGCGTGAGTATAAAAACAACAAGAACAATTCAGTCCAACTTTATCTACATGCTTCATGCCTACAGTACCTTTGATACTTTGTTAAGAAAAGGCTAATTGTCCTCTTCTGAGCCGACTTTATTTTAACATCCTACGGATAAGGGATCCTGATATTTTTACTTTCTTTGGAGCTGTTTCCTTTCAAAACATGCTGGGATACACCTCAAGAGGAGGGCTGAAGTCAGAGACGAAGGCGCGAGTTCAAAATGCAGCATCAGAGACGTCAACAGAATCTGTGCTTGGTCACTTACCTTAGTACCGAGTCCAAGGCACATTCTGATTTAAACAGTAGGAGAACTAGAACTCCTTTGGAGGAAGGAGAAATGGGGAAGAGGTAGGGCCTGTGGTGAGAGCAATCAGAGCAGCAGGGCAGACAAGGAAGCCAGACCAAGGGTGGGGGAAGCTCAGTCTGGAATGTGCTAGTGAGGTTCCCCCATACACGGCAGTAGATGCCAACATGATGGCTGAGAAGAATATGAGGAAAAAGAGTCAGAAATGTGTAAGAGAGCAAAAGGAGCTTTTAAGGGGAAAATCATTTTCCAATAATCAGGTCATGTGGAGTATGTCTACATGCTACTTTGCCACAACTGGACTTTCCATCACTGCCGTCTATCTAGTGTCACGATCTGCATTCATTTATTCATTCAGGAACTACCTGGTCACGTCACAACAAGTGTTTGCTAAAGGCTTAGTAAATGTCAGATTAATCAGCACGTAAACGCTACAGGAGAGGGTTTCTACCTCTCTCCAAGAATTTAGAAATAAGATTGTTCTCTAAGAGGTGAGCTCAGTAAAATCCACACACAATTCATGTGATTAGCCATTGTGAAATAAAAGGAATTGGCTGAAAATCTATAATGAGAGAATTTGTTTTCTGTGTGGCATGTAAATGGGAGGAGAACACCCCGGTCAGGTCAATGCCAGCAATCATCCTGTTCAAGATAATCAGTACGCAGGCACGCTGATTTTATAGAGGAGCCTCTATGCCTTCGGTTAATAAGGTTTACCTTCCTGAGATGCAGCCACTCTCAATATGGTAAGCCAAGTTCCCAGGCATCCAGCCTGAAAGTCAGGCTCTGAGTCATGGTAAATTCATCTAGTAAATGCCACCTTGTGGTTACCTGTGTAATCAGCTGGCCTTGCCCATGCCACACCTGCCTCCTTTCACTACTCCAGCAGCCGCTGGATGAGGTGCTAGGAATATATGGGAGAAGGATGGAAGTGTCCCGTCTGCAGAAAATTTACAGTCCCTAGGAAAGGTGGGTCAGCAGCTGAACAGGGGCAGTGCAGTATCATAGGATGCTGCGGAGGCAAAACAGATGCACATCTCACAGACGGGGGCATCAGTATCCTGAAGGGGGTATCACCTGAGTTGGATTTTGAAAGAGGGTCATGATTGGCCAGTAAAATGAATGAGGGAAGACATTCCAGGCCTTTGTTCATCCCGTGGATGAACAAAGGCAAACAGGTACGAAAGCATGCGGGGTGTTTTGGGAAACTCAGGAAGTTGGGAATGACTGGGACTTTGATAAACGCAGAAGGGTGTGGGAGGTGTGAGAAGAAACGCAAGAGGGTACCAGGTCATGAGGAGACTCATACATCAAACTGAAGAATTTAAACTTAATCCTGAAATTAGGGGGAGGCACTGGAAGACTTTCAACAGAGTAAGGTGGCTTTCCAGCTAGTTGGTGAAACAGTAGAAGATAAAACACGTACAAGACAAATTCGCATGCAGTAAAAGACACAGAAGTGGAAGCCAGGCATGGTGATACACATGTGTAGGCTCCGCTACTCAGGAGGCTGAAGGGGGAGGGTCACATGAGCCCAAACGTTGGAGACTGCAGTGAGCTATAATCACACCACTGCACTCCAGCCTGGGTGACAGAGAGACTCTGTCTCTTAAAAAAAAACCCAAGAATTCTCAGCAAACTATCACAAGAACAGAAAACCAAACACTGCATGTTCTCACTCATAGGTGGGAATTGAACAATGAGATCACTCAGACACAGGAAGGGGAACATCACACACCGGGGCCTATTGTGCGGAGTGGGGAGCGGGGAGGAGGGAGGGATAGCATTAGGAGATGCTAACGTAAATGATGAGTTAATGGGTGCAGCACACCAACATGGCACATTTATACATATGTAACAAATCTGCACGTTGTGTACATGTACCCTAGAACTTAAAGTATAATAAAAAAATTTTAAAAAAGGAAAAAAAACCAAGCAAACAACAAACAAACAAAAATGCAGAAGTAGCAGGGATGCAGAGATAGAAATAGGGAGAGAAACTGTACACAGATAATTAGAGGGGAGTCCCTCTAATTAATGTAGACTCTATATTAAGTAGTAGAATCGAGTTTGCCTTGACTCGTCAATGTTCTAAGACTTGAGTAGAAAGGTATTTCACATGCCAGGGACAGAACGCCCCAGAGGTAGAAAAATGTATGCTTGTACGACGAACAGCAAATAAACCAGTAAGTATGGGTGAGAGGAGTGGAAGACGAAGCTGGAGCAATAAACTGGGAGCTCTCTGTGAAGCTGTAGGGAGTTTGGATTTTATTGGGCAGGTAATGGAGCATCATGGAAAGCCTGAGTTGGGGTAGGGGAGGAAATATTCAAGGCGGTGATTTCTGACAAATAGTCTAGGGGTGATATACTGGATGAATTGAAGAGGAAAGAATGACTGGAGGTGGAAGGACCACTTAGGAGGCAGTTGTAATAATTCAGGCATGATGTTCTATGAGCCTCAACTAGGGTAATGGGAGAGAAGAGGCAAAGGATGAATGAAAGGAAGCCGACAGAACTGTAGGCAGAAGGGGGAAGGCAGCATTAAATACAACTCTGAGGCCTCCCAGCCATGGGTGACTTAGGAGAAGGATCGTCCCATTAGACCATAGAAATAGGCCATTTAGAAGGAAGAACTGGATGTAGGATGTTTTGATGAAGGCAAGGAAAGCATCTCAGATGATTTGTATGTTTATAGAATGAGAAGACGATAAAACATTTTTAAAAGTCAGAGAGGACAAGAGAGTTCAGAGGATACTGTGATCCAAATTAAGGAAGACAGTAATTTTAAAGATGTCAAAATTGCAGAATAGTCAAAGGCAATGAGAAGCAAAGAAACGGTCACTGGATTAAACAATAGGGTCATCAGGAAACAGTAGGAAGAAGGCAAACAGTAGAGAAAAAGCTGTGCAGAAATTAAAGGAGAGAGGGTCGGTCAACTGTTCTACAGGGAAATTTGGCACTAAAGAAAGGAGACTAGTAGGATATGAGTTTTGGGGAATAAGAAAACCCAGAGGAAGGTTGAATTAGGACCTAAGATGTGTGTAGGAAGAGAGAGAGAGAGAGAACAGATGATGACAAGGAAAAGATTTCAGAGGTAAGAACAATGGTCCAGTTGATGGTGGCCATGAAGTAATGATAAACACAGGGGTAGTTACAAAAGAAGGGAGAGGGCCAGGTACAGTGGCTTATGCCTGTAATCCCAGCACTTTGGGAGGCTGAGGCGGGCAGACTACCTGAGATCAG